TGACACTCCCGGGTGACCCCTCCAGGGGTCCCGACCCCCAGGTTGAGAACCACTGTTCTAAAGTATTCAAAATTCCATATAACATCAATAACAAAATAGAGCGTAGTCTTGAAATCTGACATTAAAGCTGGTAGTCATTTTTCTTATGTTGTCCCATGTTCTTCCTGACTTCTCTTCAATATCTTATCAATAAGGGCTCCTCTTAATTATTCTTATTAGTTTATGTATTTAATATGTTATCGAAGGCTTTCATGACCGAAATCACTGGGTTGTTGTGAGTTTTCCGGGCTGTATGACCATGTCCCAGAAACATTCTCTCCTGACGTTTCGCCCACATTTATGGCAGGCACCCTCAGAGGTTGTGAGGTCTGCTGGAAATGAGGCAAGTGAGGTTTATATATCTCTGGAATGTCCAGGGTGGGAGAAAGAACTCTTCTCTACTTGTGGCAAGTGTTATTGTTGCAATTGGCAACCTTGTTTAGCATTGAATTCCCTTGTAGCTTCAAAGTCTGGCTGCTTCTTGCTGGAGGAATCCTTTGTTGGGAGGTGTTAATTGGCCCTGATGGTTTTCCTTATTTACTGTCCTGATTTTAGAGTTTTTCAACACTGGTAGCCAGATTCAGTTTATTTTCATCGTTTCCCCCTTTCTGTTGAAATTGTCCACATTTCAGTTACTTCTCTGTGTAGTCTGACATGGTGGTCCAGTATTTCTGTGTTCTCAAATAATATGCTGTGTCCAGGGACCTCATCACACTAGAGAATGAATCCACTTTAAATTCGGTTGCTGCCCCCTGCGGAATTCGGGGGTTTGTAGTTTAGGGAGGGGCCGGATTTAAAGTGGATTCATTCTCTAGTGCAGTGGTTCTCACCCTTCCTTAGGCATTTATTAATTAAATTCTTAATGGGTTGTTGTGGCACAATGGGTTAAACCAGTGGTTCTCAACTTTCCTAATGCAGTGACCCCTTATTACAGTTCTCCCCCTTACCCCTAACCATAAAGTTATTCTTGTTGCTACTTCATAATTGTAATTTTGCTACTGTTATGAATTGTAATGTAAATATCTGATGTGCAGGATGTATTTTCATTCACTGGACCAAAATTGGCACAAATACACAATACGCACAAATTTGATTACTGGTGGGGTTGTGGGGGATGGGTTTTGTCATTTGGGGGTTGTAGTTGCTGGGATTTATAGTTCACCTACAAGGAAAGAACATTCTGAACTCCACCAATGATGGAATTGAACCAAACGTGGAACACAGAACTCCCATGATCAACAGAAAATACTGGAAGAGTTTGGTGGTTCCTCAGGGGCTCTGCTATGGCTGACTTCTCTAGTTGAATTAGTCTGTAGTTCCTTTCATGTTCCTTGATTCATGCCTGGGCAATGCCGTGTTTGGTGGTTCTACAGCTGCATGGTACACGGTAGACTCCTGCAGAGGTGAGAGGATCCTTCTTGTCCTTTGCTGAATGTAGCATTTGTTGGATTTTGTTTGTGCGTCTGTAGATAGGTTGTAGGTTGTGTTTCCTCATCAGCTTCCCTGTGCGGTCAGTGATTCTCTTGATGTATGGCAAGAACACTTTCCCTCTGGGTGGATCTTTGTCTTTACTCTCGTGGCTTGTTCTTGGTCTTGTAGCTCTTCTGATGTCTGTGGTGGAGTAGCGATCGGCTTTTAGAGCCCAGTTTAGGTGGTTCAGTAAACGGAGGTGGTGAGATTTGCAGATTTTTGCATGGTCTCTCAGGGCTTTAATGGAGCTTCTTTTTTTTACTTGGGTGATGGTTGGAGATTTTACAGTATGTAGGTATCTAATCTATCCATGTGTGTATGTTTTTTGTATACTGTGTGGCTCAATTGTTGATTGGATTTGCGGAGGACTCGCACATCTAGAAATGGCAGTTTTCCTTCATTTGCTTTTTCCATGGTGAATTGGATGTTTGTGTCGATGCTGTTGAGGTCGTCCAGGAACTTGTTTAGTTCTTCTCCTCCATGGCTCCAAATGGTGAAGGTGTCATCCACATATCTAAACTATATAGTGAGGTTTTTGTGGCTGTTTCCAGGGCTTGTTTTTCAAAGTGTTCCATGTAGAATTTTTCTGTGACCGGGATGAGAGGTCTCCCCATGGCTAATCCATCTTTCTGTTCATAGAATTCATTGTCCCATCGGAATTAGCTAGGTTTCTATGAACAGAAAAACTGGTCTGCGATGGTTAAGGCCCAGGGGATCGAGGGAGGGTTTTTTCAGCAGAGTTTTTGTTGTGTATGTAACAAATTTCCCCAGAAAGATTACTGGCTCTGATATTAATTTTTGCTCCAAAAGACACATTAGACTTATTTGCAGAAGGTGTCTTGTTTTATCATGCACAAAAATCTACTTATTCAAATCTAGCCATTTCATCTTTTGTTACATTGTCATAATATAATGTCAATATTATTATTTATAAATATTTAATTATATATTAAATTTAATATTTTAGCATGCATCATGTCTGTCTTGTATTGTAATGGATGTATTACCAGTAAATGCCTCAATCTAGCTGACGATCTTAACTGGGACTTATTATGGGTAGTTCTTATTTCCAAGGATCATGAAATATCATACTAGGGCTTATTTTTTTAATATATGTTTTATTAGATGCTTTTCAGTAAATTTCAGTAAATAAAAACAAAACTTGTGGGGGGATATGTCCTGGGGTAAGTCTCGGGGATCTAATAGGAGGGGGCAGAGTATAGAAAAAAAAGGGGGGGGATTTATACTAGGGCTTATTTTATGGTTATGCTTTATTATATATAGCTTTTGGGAGATGCTGAAATTTGTGTGAGTCTTAAAACTGATGGCATCTTAGAATATTTTATGTGAGAGAGGCCTATAGTTTGGGCCAGTGATTCCCAAGCCTTTCTGGTCATGGACCCCCCCCCCCTTTTTTTTTTTTTATGTCAGGAGCAACTTGAGAAACTGCAAGGCACTTCTGGTTTGAGAGAATTGGCCATTTGCAAGGATGTTGCCCAGGGGACACCCGGATGTTTTGATGTTTTACGATCCTTGTGGGAGGCTTATCTCATGTCCCCACATGAGGAGCTGGAGCTGACAGAGGGAGCTCATCCGTGCTCTCCCCAGATTCGAACCTCTGACCTGTTGGTCTTCAGTCCTGCTGGCGCAAGGGTTTAACCCATTTGCGCCACCGGGGGCTCCTATGGAACCCTTTAGAAGACATTTATTTCCTGCAGAACCCTAACTCTTGCTGTATTTTTTAAACCATTTAAATTGGGATTCCACAAAGTTCTTCCTTTTTTCTATTCCTATTGCCTGAGTTTTCTGTATAATTCAATAGGTATGGACATGAAGAGAAAATATTCAAAATATAACCACAAACCATCGTTTTAGTTTTGAATGAAGGCTTGATGTCTGACAGCTGAGGACATAAATCAAGGGTGGTATTCAACTGCCAAACCGTGTTTGGTGGAAGCATAAGCAAAAAAAGGATCACCTGCGTTCCCCCTTCCTTCTCATTAGAGACAATCCAATATTGAGTTGGGTGTAGATTGATTTTAAAATCCCTTTCAAATATGATTTTAAGATTTATTTATTTTTTGTAGAACCCCTATAGTTCCATGCAAAAGTTTGGGAGCGAGTGTGAGTCTAGGCATTAATTAAGAGCTTGTGGGAGGGGCTTAGCAGTGGGAGGGGCATGAGGGAGGGGCCTCAGGGAGGGAGGGGTGTGTATGCAGATTAGGTTGCAGAAGTGGGTTGTGAGGAGAGAGGGAATTTGCAAATGGTTGCTGATTGGGTGATCTGAATGTGAGTGTGGAAAGGGCCAGCCAGTTCCCAGCCACATGCAAATCCCCCTCCTTCTCCGAATTTCAAACTCCTGCCACTCAGTCTGCATGCATACCCCAGTTGCTAGTGCTCTTCCTCTCCCTCCCTCCCAGTGGCAGCCAGTTCCAAGGGTCAATCCCTTGCTAGAGTCCCTCGGAGTGGAGAATAAGGATGTCCTCATGGTGCCCTGTGGACTTCCTGGACCATCAGCCTGACCCCTGTTGGAGGGAGGGAGTGGATGGGGGGTTTGCAGGACCCCTGGATGGGGTGGGCTGCCCCAGTCTCTCACACTTTGTGGCCTTCTCTTGCCCCTTTCAGCTCTTCGGAGCCACAAGGAACCAGCGCGGAGGAGCCCTCTCTCCGGACATGCTTCATCCAAGTACTGCCAGTATTTGAGGTAAGGAAGGCGGCCTCTTAGATATACAGGTAGTCCCCAAGTTACAAACAAGATAGGTTCCGTAGATGTGGGAACATTTTTTTAAAAAATTGATTTTTATTATATGCACACAAAGAAAACAATCATTTTATTACATTTACATCAAAAGTGGGAGAACATTCAGATTATAGAAAAGTAGGAAAACATTTAAGAGGAGATAGAAATGGACTTGAAAAAACCGTAAAAAACACATATATTCCTAAAAAATAAAAAAATAGAAAAAAATTGGAAAAAAGAAAAAAGTCTTTGACTTCCAATCTGTGTCTTCGCCAATATTATGTAATTACTGTATATACTCGAGTATAAGCCTAGTTTTTCAGTCCTTTTTTTAGGCTAAAAAAGTCTCCCCCGGCTTATACTCGAGTCAATGTTATTTATTATCTTACTTTGTTGTTGTTGTTATTATTATTACATTTATTATTTTATTATTATTGTTATAATTACATTTATTATTTTACTCTTATTACTGTTATTACATTCCATTATTTTACTCTATTATTATTATTGTTTTACTCTATTTATTATTATTGGAGGACATGAAAGCATATTTACATTGAAGAAGGTTAGAATAATGGTTTAATTCTTGTTTCTTCTTGCGTACCTGTCTTGCAAGCCATCTGCCCAGTTTGTTAGCATTTTCAAAATGAGATTGTTTAAGGAATTTCCATTACTTTGCTTGGGATTCTAATTCTAAATGATGTTTTTTCTGGTTCAGTTCTCGTAGCACCTTTACTCATAAGCGGTTTGTTAGATCCCTCTTAAGGTTCTTTCCCTTTAATTGTATTTGTCTTTCAATCTCCTTTATTTCCTTATTTTTCTGTTTATTATTTCTTGCATTATGTTGTATGAAATGCCCACGTAGGACTGCTTTGAACGTCCCATACTATTTGGGGCTTCACTTCATTTGTATCATTCAGTTTTATATATCCCTGGGTTATTTCCTTATATTTCTTAATATCCTCCCCCTTTTTAAATACATTCTCATTCAATCTGGTTAAGATATTTATTTCATCAATCCTAGTGGATAAACGTTTTGTGGACCAAACCATGTCGATCCTTGACCTATGTTTTGTCCCTATGAGAACAGAAAGTAAAGTCTTGTTTTTCCCCATTCCTAGACCTCCATACATCTTCCAAGTCCGTTTCTTCTTTTAGTGATATCAATTTTGGGGGCAAAGTGCTGCTACCTTCTTTGGATTTTTTTTCTTGATTTATTACTTTTATCCCATGAGCTGTTCAAGACTCCATTAAAGTCTCCCAATAACAATAATTCATCATATTTAATGTGGGAACATTTTTAAAGTTTTACTCCTATCTGTCTGTCTGTCTATCTATCTATCTATCTATCTATCTATCTATCTATCTATCTATCTATCTAACTATCTAAGTACCTATCTATCTAAACAAAACAATTTGTATTGATCAGCCGATTCATCAAAACACACGATGTAAACACAGCATACAGTATACATCTAGTCTGAGTAAAAATAGAAATATACAAGTACAGAGGGAAAAAGTGGGGGTGGCCGACTTGCAACCTAATATACCTTAATCTTAAGTATATACATCAAATGATTGATTGAATGAAATGAAATAGAAAGATACAGAATGGGGGACGCCTGGCTCAAGAGCAGTGCATGTGAAAAAGATCTTTGGGTCCTCGTGGACAAAAAGTTAAACATAAGCCAACAATATGATGTGGTGGCAAAAAAAGCCAATGGGATTTTGGCCTGCATCAATAGGAGTCTAGTGTCTAGATCCAGGGAAGTCATGCCACCCCTATTTCTGCCTTGGTCAGACCACACCTGGAATACTGTGTCCAAATCTGGGCACCACAATTGAGAGAGATATTGACAAGCTGGAATGTGTCCAGAGGAGGGCGACTAAAATGATCAAGGGTCTGGAGAACAAGCCCTATGAGGAGCGGCTTAAAGAGCTGGACATGTTTAGTCTGAAGAAGAGAAGGCTGAGAGGAGACATGATAGCCATGTATAAATATGTGAGAGAAAGACTTAGGAGGAGGGAGCAAGTTTGTTTTCTACTGTCCTGGAGACTAAGATGCTGAACAATGGCTTCAAATTACAAGAAAGGAGATTCCACCTGAACATTAGGAAGAACTTCCTGACTGCGAGAGCCATTCAGCAGTGGAACTCTCTGCCCCAGAGTGTGGTGGAGGCTCCTTCTTTGGAGGCTTATAAACAGAGGCTGGATGGCCATCTGTTGAGGGTGCTTTGAACGTCATTGTCCTGCTTCTTGGAAGGGGGTTGGACTGGATGGCCCACGAGGTCTCTTCCAACTCTCTGATTCGATTTTAACTATATTTGAACTTCTGAATTGTATTTTTGTATGCTGTAAACCACCTTGGGTCCGCTTGCGGAAAAAGGCCGGGTAGAAATATATTAAATAAATAGATAAATAAATAATTACATGGCTGATTCATGAAATTAAAAAAAATCACATGAAAAAGGGACCAAAAGGAACATAAGAGAGTTAAAAGGTGGGCCAATATTAAGCAAATGGATTTCAAGAGGGAGAACTGTAGGGTACTAGACTTGGGCAATAAAGATGAAATGCCTAGATATGGGATGGGTGACGTCTGACTTCTCAACAGTCCATATGAAACGGAATTAGTTGTCTTAATAGGCCACAAAGTGAACATGAGTCAAGAGTATATTACAGCAGCTTTACAAGTCCAGGTTGTTCTAGGCTGCATCAATGGAAGCCCAGTGTTGAGATGGAGGGACGTCCTAGTCCCACTCCCTTCTGCTTTGGTCAGACCTCTTCACCTGGAATAACCCTGTGTCTAGTTCTGGGCAAAGCCATTGAAGAAGTGGATAGCTTGGAGTTTTCCGGACTGTATGGCCATGTTCCAGAAGCATTCACTCATGACGTTTTGCCCACATCTGTGGCAAGCATCCTCAGAGATTGTGAGGTCTGTTGGAAACAAGGCAAGTGGTTTATGTGTCCGTGAAATGTCTCGTGTGGGAGAAAGAACTCTTTTCTGTTTGAGGCAAGCGTGAATGTTGAAAATGATCACCTCGATTAGCATTGAATAATCTTGCAGCTCAAAGCTTGGCTGTTTCCTGCCTGGGGGAATCATTTGTTGGGAGGAGCTTAGCTGGCCCTCATTGTTTCCAGTCTGGAATTCTCCTGTTTTTTTTAGTGTTGTTCTTTACTTACTGTCCTGATTTTACAGTTTTTTAAATACTGGTAGCCAGATATTGTTTATTTTCATGTTGAAATTGTCCACATGCTTGTGGATTTCAATGGCTTCCCTGTGTAGCCTGACATGGTGGTTGTTAGAGTGGTCCAGCATTTCTGTGTTCTCAAATAATATGCTATGCCCAGGTTGGTTCCTCAGGTGCTCTGCTGACGTCTTGGGTTGAATGAGTCTGCAGTGCCTTTCATGTTCCTTGATTTGTGTCTGGGCAATGCTGCATTTGGTGGTCTCTATGTAGACTTGTCCACAGCTGCATGATAAACGGCAGCTCCTGCAGAGGTGAGAGGATCTCTCTTATCCTTTGCTGAACGTAGCATTTGTTGGATTTTCTTAGCGAGCCTATAGATAGTTTGTAGGTTGTGTTTGTTCATCAGCTTCTCTCTCTGTGGTCAGTGGTTCCCTTGATGTATGGTAAGAACATGTTTCCTCTGGGTGGATCTTTGTCTTTACTCTCGTGGCTCGTTCTCGGTCTTGCAGCTCTTCTCATGTCGGTGATGGAGTAGCCATGGGCCGGTAGAAGCCAGTTTAGATGGTTGAAGTCACCTTGGAGGAGGTGGGGTTTGCAGATGCTTTTTGCATAGTCTGCCAGGGCTTTAATGGTGCTTTTTAAAAAAAATATTGGGTAATGGTTGGAGTTTTTATGTAGGTATCTATTTGTGTGTGTAGTTTTCTGTAAACTGTGTGGCCCAATTGTTGATTGGGTTTGTGGATGACTAGAACATCTAGAAATGGCAGTTTTGCTTCATGTTCTTTTTCCATGGTGAATGGGATGTTTGGGTGGATGGGATTCAAGAAGGCTGTTGACAAGCTGGAATATGTTTAGAGAAGGGCAACGGATACAATCATAGATCTGGAAGCCAACCCCTTTCTGCCACTCAGGTCTCTTTCTATGAGGCCTGTAAACCATGAATTCCTATGAAGAGCAGCTCAGGAAATAGGGTATGTTTATCTTGGAGAAAAGAAGGCCGAGAGGGAAATGAGAGCCATGTTGAACTATCAGAAGGGGGCTGGACTAGGTGGCCTTTGTGGGTGTCTGTTAACTGTATGATTCTATGAATGTATGAATCTATGCTCCAGCAGCAGCTGTAGCCACAGAAATCAAACCTGCCACCTCCCCAAATGGGACACTCTTCCAAATATTTAAACATGGCCCTCATGTCCCATCTCCGCCTTTTCCTTTCCAAGACAAATATTCCTGGCTTCCTCAGCTGCTCCTGCGGGAATCATAATTTCCAGGCCTTTCACAGTTTGGGTCGCCCTTCTCTGGACAGATTTCAGTTCGTCCATATCTTTCCTGACCTTTGGTGCCAAGAACTGGACACAGTCTTATTCCAGGCAAGGTCTGACCAGAGCAGAACAGATGTCCTCCTCTGGAGGGAGACAAAGCTTTATGAAGAGGAGACATGTTGCTGCCTGTCTCTCAGAAGCTGGGCCAAGGCAGTGGTCGGCATCCAAGAAAGTAGGGCTATTCCGTTGTGGTCCCCAGGTGGGCCTTCTCTGAAGAGGGGTGGGAATCCTGGAGCCCTCAGGAGTTGTTTATCTGCAAATCCCAGCAGCCTCTGGCAGCAGGGTCAATGGAGAGGAATGTTGGGGGTGGGAGTCCAGCACTGTCTGGGAATTCCAGCCCTGAGAGAAAGAATGGGATGGAAGGAGAGAGATTGTGGCAGAAGGAAAAGCCCTTCTTCGGTAGAATCTTGAGACCCCCTTCCTTTCTCTGCAGTTTCTGGGGAGAGAGGAACCCCCCTTGGAGTCTAGCAGCCTGGTGGCCATCTATGAGACTTCAGAGAGGTACCTCCTGTCCATGTTTATGGGGAGAGGGCATGCTGGGGTCTGGGGGGTTGGGGCCCGGAGATCTGGAGGGGGCCTTCTCAGGACGTTGCCTTCTTCCCATGGGCTGGCAAGACCCTTGGGATGGGGCTTGCCTCTCTTGGGGGAAATAGAAGGGAGAAGCTGAGTTCCTCTTCTGCCCCTTGCCTTTCTAGCAGCTTCATATCGGAGAGAATCCCAACTCCTCCACAGAAAGAACTACCCAGGGAGTTGGTGAGTGAAAAAAAGAGGCTGGAAAGGGGGGAGATTGCCTCTCTTCGTCCTTTGGGAAATGGATTCGGGCTCAGGGCCATCCCAAGACCCATTGAGTTCTAGGTGGCCCTTTGCTGAAGAGGCCTCCTACACTGCTAATCTGTTGTTGGAGTTCAAGTCCCAACAGCCCCGGGCAGTGTGTCACTGGGGAGGAAGGCTGGGGGTTTCAGTCCAATTCTCTCTGGGAGAAAGAGGGGCGGCGGCTTGCAAAGAGCACAGCCCTCACTTCCCTCTTCTTCCCAATCAACAGGGCTCCAAAGAAGTTGGTGTTCCTTCGGAGCTGTTCGTGCAGGAGGGGGCGGCCCAGGACCTCGAGAATGAGAGGTACATCCCTTCCCAGGTTCAGGGCCACATCGCAGTCAGAGATCCCCTCCCTCCCTCCTTCCCTCCTTCAATTGAGGCCAAGGGGGCTTGAGCCTGAAACCTTATTCTAGGGGGTTTGGGGCGGAGAGAGAGGAGAGGATGCCTTCTGATCTTGCCTTGTTCTCTCTCTCTCTCTCCTTGCAGTGTCGATGAGCCCCCTGAGAAGACATCAAGGGTAAGGAAGGGAAGGGAGCAGAAAAAAGGGGGGTTCCTTCCTCTGCATCCCCCTCCTCTTTTCCTCTCCCTGTCCCTCCTTTAAGCTTCTTCCTCCTACTCTAGCCTTCCTCCCCTGAGCTGTCTTCCCATTCCTCCCCCTTTGCCCCTATTTCACTTCTCTATCTATTGTCTTTTACAGGACCCCGAAGAGGCAACACTTCTGGATGTCCCCAGCCTGGAGGATGAGGTGTGGGACCCTCTCCCTAGTTCAAGCAGGTGTGTTGCTCTTTGCCAGGAAGGATGACCATTGCACCCCTCCTTGTCCTCAGTCCCTGGCCTACCAGGCCTCACCTCCTTATGCCTCCTTATGCCTCTCTTCCAGCTCCCTGGGCCATGAGGAAGGGGAAGATCTGGCCCTGAAGCCTCGGAGATGGTCCTCCATGGACCTAGAGCAGGTAAGGCCCAGAGTTCCCCCCACAAGGCCTGGGACCACCACCGAGGAGGCATCGCCCAACACCTTCCTCAGGACGCAGAGAGGGGCCTCCTGCATCGTCCTTCCAGGTGGCAGGTGTGTCCTAGAGATGTTCTGGTAGGCTGCTCTTTAGCCACAAGAAAGGTATGTTGGGACCCCAATGCCCCATTCCTTCCAACAGGCATCCTACACATCTTCACTGACCATTCCCCTCCCTCCATTTTTGACCCAGGAGACTTTCCATGTTTCCCGAGTGCCACTGTTTCCCTTCTTTCTTTCCTTACAGGCGCAAGAACACCTTCACCGTCTGTGCCAGCTGCTCTGCAGTCCCTCCTCTGCAGAGGCTATGCCGGCTGTGGATTACGTGGCCCGCAAACATCTCAAGATGGCCACGGACCACTATCTGGAGTCCAATGGGAGGTAAGAGAGCTGGGCCTGGGGGTGCCACTCCCCTGTCCCCATGGGGTTGGAGACAAGCCTGACCCTGACCCTGGCTCCCTCTTCCCTCTCTTCATTCACAGGGAGTGTGGTGAATTGATGTGCGCCGTTCTCAATTCACCTTACTGCTCCGCGGAGGCGGCGCTCGACCTGTTCCTGGCCAAGGTGAAGGAGGGCCCTTGGCTGGCCGAGGAGGGCAAAGAACAGGGGAGCCCCACTTTGGATGCGGCCACAGTAAGGACATCCGGTCCCGCACCCTGTCTTTGGGGGACTTGGGAAGGAGAGGGGGCCCTCTTTCCTGGCCTTCAGCCGGAGCCCTCCTGGCATGTAACCCTCCTTCTTTCTCTCCGCAGGCAAGAGCGACGCGGGCCATCGGGAAGATCGTGACATACATCAAGGACAGCACTCGCCTGGAGGGGTGGTTCCTGGAGCTTCTGCTCGCCTTGGTGACCAACTACATCGAGGTCACAAGGCCTGGGTTGGAGGCGCCCAGCAGGGACCAGAGCAGCATCTACGTTCCTCCAGAGTAAGGAGGGGGGGGGAGGCTCAGTGGGGCTCCCAGGCCTTTTGGGGGGGCCAGATGGGGGACTCAAACCCTCCACTGGGAAGTAAACATTTTTCTTTCATTTTCCTGCAGAGAACTGGCGAAGATAATCATCGTGCTGCTGAAGAGGGTGGCCCGGGTGTCTTTCAAGGAGACCTCCAAGGAGATGCTAGAAGAGCTCAGCATCTGCCCTGAGGGAATGGCCCTCCTGTTGCGGTAAGGAGCCAAGGGCCGGAGGAGGTTCAGGGAGGAGGCACAGCCTGGTCTCTCTGGCTGGCTTCCCTCATGGGGTCCCTCTTGTCTTCCAGGAGCTTCCTCAAGTCCTCCTCCTCCCTGCTCCAGCACCTGTCTTCGACTTGGGAAACAGAAGCGCCGCTGGAGCATTCGGCCGGAACGGTGGCCTTCTATATCCAGGTGAGGAGGGTTAGTCAGCCTGGGTTTTGGGCTGGAAGGGGGCCTTAGGATAGGGCGGGGGAGTCGAGGAGGGGAGAGGCAGTGCCTCCCTTCCTGGCTCCAGCTCTTCACATTTCTCCTCTTCTCTTTCAGCTGCTGCACACTGGCCAACGCCCACACTCCCCGGAGAAGACCTGGGCACTGCTCACGGCCTGGCTCCAACATCACAGCCTGGCCGTACAACATCAGAGCAGGCAGGGCCTTCTCCTTCTGTGCAGGACCTACAGGGAGGTAAGTCAGGCACAGCCCAGGCTCCACACACCACACAGAGGGCCAGCTGAGTCTAGATCCAGCAGGCCTTGCTCTTGCGTTCGTAGGAAGAAGGTCCTGGGAGGTCCCTTCCCCAACCAGCGGGGAGGCCTGTGTCTAGGCGTTCTCTGCAGGGGACCTCTTAGGCATGGCCCTCCTTTCTCTCTCTTTGCAGACCATGAGGCTCCAGGAGCTCCTGGACGGGGTCCTTGGGGGGCTGCAATCCCCCCACATCGACGTCGTGCTGGAGTTCCTGGGCCTGGCTGGCCAGCTGGGGCCCCTGCTGCACAAAGAAGACCAGGGCCCTGCGAAGGCTCACCTGGCTGCTGGATGCCGCCCTCTCTTCCACCACGTGAGTCTTGGCCCCGGTCCTTTTTGGGGAGGGTGTAGACTTCCCCCTCTCCCCAAGCCCCAAGAAGGGGCTTCACACAAAGAAAGGGGGAGAAAGTCTCCTTTTCCTTCGTTTTTTCAGGAGGCAGCCAAGATCCGGAAGGCAGCCCTGGAATGCTTTCAGCAGCTTCTCTGGCGCCTGGAACATCAACATGAGGAGCGCAAGACCATCCACGACCTCCTTACGGTGCTGGTTCACGTGGAGGATGAGGACGAGGAGGTGGTCAAGGTGGGAGGGAGGCCCAGTGCTGGCCCCTCAAGGCCTTGGGGCTCAGGACAGGGGTCAAGGGAGCGAGGAAGGGGTCACTTGCCCTCCAAGTGAGCCTGACTTCTTCCCTCTTCCTCCTCCTCCTCTTTGAAGACTGCGAGGATGACCCTCAGGGAGACAGCGGAGGTCCTGCGATGGCACCTGAAGGACAGCGTTCTGGCGGGAGACACCTTCAGCCTGCAGGAGCTGCTCCACAAAATCTCCAAGCGCCTGGTCAGTGCCCGTCCTGAAGCCAGGGAGTCAGGGGGGCCTTATGCCCAGCAGGCATAGGGAAACCCTCTTTTGACCTCACCTCTCATCTCTCTCTCTCCTCCAGATCCAGCACTGCAGCTCCAGGAGTGAGTTGGAGGAGCAGGTGTATGGCTGCCTGCCTTTTTTCAAGAGCAAGCTTCCCTCGGCAAAGAAGGCAGCGGCCATGTTGCTCGGTAAGGGACTGGGGTGGGGACGTCTTGGCCCCCTTTGTGCCCATTCCTGGCTTCCAGCTCAGTCTCTGGGGCAGCAGGAGTGCCCTCTTCCTCAGAAGACCTCTCTCCCTCCACCTTGGGACATGCAGAAGGCCCTTGGAGCTCATTCTGGAACCTGGAGCCTTTTGGGGGGAGAGCAAAGACCAGGGTCCTCTTCCTCCCCTTCTCTCCCTTCCTTCCGCCTGCAAAGCCCCCTCCCCGGCCTCCTCTGGGGCGTTCCCCTCCCTTGGGTGTAGTGTTGGGTTCAGGGAGCTCCAGAATGCTCTTTGCTAAGGGAGATGGTCCCTCTCTTCTCTGCTGCCTTCCTTCTCTCCAGGTCACGTGCTTCACAAGAACAGTAACATCTGCACTGAGAGGAACACCTGCACCTACGAGGCCTGTAAGTCAGCCCAAGAGGGACTGGGCCTTGGAAGAGAGGGTCCTGGGGAGTCCGTGTGCCGTCCCTCACCTGCTGACCTCCCTCCCTTCCTTTCTTCCTTCCAGGGTTGATTGATCTCCTCGCCGACCATGACCCTGAAGTCAGGAGAGTTGGCTGGCAGACCAAGGCCATCCTCGCCAGGGCCTCCGCCCTCCACTCCCGACACGGGCTGCGAGCTGCTTTTCGGCGCTTGGTGGCAGGCTGCAGGCAAGAAAGGTATCCCCCAGAGTACGCGGAGGACCCACCCGCCTGATGAACAGGTAAGCAAGGAAGGGAGGAAGGAGAGAAGGAGGGAGGAATTGAGGAAAGAAGAAGGGAGTCTCCTTTACCCAGTCCTCCTTTCTCTGTCCTTTGCAGGAACACCACGATCTCCCCGCGTGTCACAGGAAGACCTCTGCTTCGCTCCAGCTGTGCCGCAGCCCCAAAGGGAAGTAGCGTTAGGGAGGTGGGAGTCTGCCCAGCCCTGGCCCAGGGAATCCCCGCCCCTTTGCAGAAGGCCCGCCCCTGCTCTGGGCCCCATTGCCACCAGAGGCCCTTGGAGCAGAGCAGAGATAGAAGACTGCTTGGGCCCCCTCAGGCCCCTCTATTGAGCTCTGTTCTGTTCTGTGGGGGATTAGGGGAACTGGAGGGGAGGGGCCACCACCTGTTCCCTGGGCTTTCATTCCAACCCTTGGGCTGGGCCCCACCTTCTTTGTCCTCCGGACTCCCCCACCCTGACCCCTCCCTCTCGGCCTGGGATGCCACCACCGCCTCCTCCCTCCCTCCGAGGTGGCATCCCCACAAGGGCGCCTCCCTACTTACCTCCCCTTGCCCAGCCCAGGTGTGCTGCCCCTCCTCCCTCTCCCCTCCAGGTGCAGCCAGGCCTCCCTCCTCCTGAGCCCTCCCTCCAAACACCCCCATTTCCCCCTGTCCTTTCCCAGTCATAAGGGTGATGAGAGCAGGGTCACAACCCCCAACCTGTCCAGGGAATTCAAGAGACCACACTCCACTTGGTGAAAGGCGATTTCACCACTAATGGAGTTGGCCTTTTTGGTGCAATGCACTGATTGGACAAATGTGATTCCAAGAGCAAGGGCAACACCCATTTAGATGTGCACATTATTCTGCAAAAACATAGTCCACATGCAGACCTTAGCTCAGGAATGTCTGGAGTTGTATAAGAAGCCCACTACTTCTGGTCTCGGGACTGCAGTCCAGACACCATTCCCACAGTTTTCTGGACTAACTTAGTCCGGAAAACTGTGGGAATCCCACCCCCCTCCCCCACACCCCCAAACCCCTTTTAAAAATAAAATAAATGTAAGTAAGTTTATTTTTCTTTTAAAAGGAGTTTGGGGGCTGAGGGAGAGGGAGGGAGGGTCTGCAGATGTTCTGCTGGGCCAGTCTTGGAAGAACATTTGGACACCCAACCCAGAAAGCACACGCTTTCAGGGATGGGTGTGGATGGGCCCCCAGGAACATTTGCGTTTTTTTTAAAACGCAGATGCTCCTGGGATAAAGGGCTGTCTGGAAGTTCCTTTGGACTTAATTTCTAGTCAGCTGAATGGGATTTCAGGTAATTGAAGCCCAAAACACCAGGAGAAGCAAAATTTGAGGGTCTATCCAGACAGGACACAAAATGTGCACCCTCCTGCATTTTCCTGAGAGGTGTCCAGACGACGGACCATGTAAACGCGAGTGCATTGGGCACAAAGCAGGAAAATCCTGCTTTGTGCTGAAGTAATTTAATGCTTTCAGAAGACCTGTGTCTTTCCAGGTGAGGGAGCTATGTAGATGGGACCGGGGGATTGCGCCGCGCAACTTCCACTTCCCCTCTATAAATCTACCTCAGATTTCTTGTGCTCCCGGAGCCCAAGAAATGTGAGACAGCCCCCTCATCCTCCCCACACCTCTTAAAACTGCCTTTCTAAAAGGAAAACAACCTGCCCCCATTTTCCTTTCTCTGGAGTTCTCCTGGGTCGTACCAATGATGCACAAAGGGGGGGAGGGGGAATTGCGCCTGTACTGTTCCCCCGGCCCCTTGGTGCATCATTGGCATGACCCAGGAGAACTCCAGAGAAGGGCAAATGGTGGCAGGGTGAGTTATTTTCTTGTAAAAAGGATATTTAAAGGGGTTTTCTTCTTTGTCCTGGTTTCCTGCAGGATATCCTGGCAGGGCATGTGGACCCTCTCCTCCCCCCCCCCCCCCCCCAGGAAAGCACAGACTTTTTGAGGGTGGGTGGGTGGACTAGAACAGTGGAACATTTGCGTTTTTATAATATCATTGTTCCTGGTGTCTGGAACTGCCCTGAGAAACACTGCTTTAGACTGTGAGTGATTACTTTGGGGTTGTCCTTGCTCGCAGGTTTGTCCAGGCAAGTGACAGCCACTGATGGGCCAGCTTTCCCCAAGAGCTGCAATGGAATTGCATTTGTATTTTCCAGTGTAGCCTCTGAGGAAGGCCGGCCCATTAGTGTGAGTTTCCTGGACAAACCTGTCAAGCAGGAGGCCATCCCCCCTCTTCTGGAGCTGTGTCTCCCGATGGGCGTTGATGCCCCTTGGGTTCACCTTGGACTCCTCACCCACCCCGCCTCACCTGGACTCACGTGGAAGGAGGCCTGGCTGCTGGGGGCCATGGAGGAGGAGAAGCAGGAGGAGGGGGCAGTGCTCCCCACTGACACTGCTTGTGGTTCTTACAGGGCCTTTCCGGACAGAGGACGCCAAGGGACAGTGACCCATCGAGGGACATGAACATCGAGGGACCCTGATCAGCGAGGGACTCTGACCATCGTGGGACACTTGACATTGAGGGACCCTGATCAGCGAAGGACCCTGGCCATCGAGGGACTCTAACCATCGAGGGATGCTTGACATTGAGGGACCCTGACTGGCGTCTGTAAGAACAAGAAGAGAGAAGACAGGACTTCTATAAATGTGTTTGGATATTTCGCTTTCTTGTAAAAGTTTAAGGTGTATGTTTGTTGTTATTTACTATGCAATTGATTGTCTTTCTTGTATAGGAGAGGATCCCCCTGCCCTGTGGAAGCGCTGCTCTTCCCCTTTGGCTGCTCTGGCTGCCTCCTGTGGATCCGGGGCTTGCAGGGGAGGGAGGACCAGGCCTCTCTGGCAGAGGAGGGTCTCCAAGGCCCCCCTCCCTCCTCTGCAAATCCCAGGACTCACAGCCCAGCCGCTGGAGGGGAAGAGACGCCCTTGGACAGCGCAGTGAGAGAGGCCCCCTAGTCTGTGTATTGTAGTTTTATCTTATGGATTTGTGTAGACTAATATTGTATCCTTAAATGTCTGACTAGAATAAATGTACCCCTTTCTTTTTAATGTGGCGCTTTCCTTAGATTCCTTTTGGGAGGGAGACCCAAACTGCCCAGGACCTGCAACTCAGCCCCATCCACACTGACCCTTCCATGCAGGTTGAACGGCATATGAGCTGGATCTAGATTTCCCTCTCTCCCAGGATCTGATTCCAGATTATCTGCTTTGAACTGGATTATATGAGTCTGTACTGCCAGATAATCTTTGTTAAACAGATAATCTGGGATCACATCCTGCTACGTAGGGCAAGGTAGATCCAGCCTGAGTCTGCACTGAGCATATTATACAGTTCTACCTGCATGAAATGACAGTGTAGATAAGGCTATAGGCCCCATCTACACTGCCACATAATCCATTTTCAGATGTATGTTCACTGTGGTTCAACTTGGATTATATGGCAATGTAGGGCCCCTTCTACACAGCTTTAGAAAATCCAGATTCTCTGCTTTCAATTTAATTCAGATAATCTGAACTGTACATTCAGTTAATCCAGCTGTACATTCAGATAATTATTCAGATAATCAGATAATCTAATTCAAAGCAGATAATGTGGACTGTCTGCCTTGATATTCCGGATTATAGGGCAGTGTAGAAGGATCCTAAATGGGTCCTAAGAGGAAGAAGTAAGAGAAAGTGACAATGTTGCTGGGTCTACACTGCCTTATATCCCAGGATCTGATCCCAGATTATCTGCTTTAAACTGGATTATATGAATCTACACTGCATGAAGCAGATAATCTGGGATCAGATCCTGGGATATGGGACTGTAAATCAAGCCTGAGTCTGCACTGACCATATAATACAGTCCAAACAGCATGAAATGATATTGTAGATAAAGTTCTAGGCCCCACTGACACTGGCATAGA